TTCCGATCGCTCATTGGGGCAATGCAATATTGCACGCAGCCATGTTGGTTCGTCTGAAGCCTGTTGTGACCCAACCATATAGTACCATTCAATTGGTTATCGGATATAAACTTGACATATCACATATACGCATTTTTGGTTGTGCAGTTTATGTTTTCGTTGCCCTTACGTACAAAATTGAGGCCTTAGCGAAGGATGGGAATCTATGTTGGACACGATTCTCCTTTGAACATTCATTACTTAGAACCTTTGACAAGCAATCTGTTTACCGCTCATTTCGCGGATTGTCACTTCTATTAGACAATTTTTCTGTTGCGAGGGAAAGATAAGAATGTTAGCATTCATGAAGAACGACGCGAATTATCGTAGACAACTCCCACTTTGTCTCATTTAGATCCCCGCACAGTTCATTCTGAAACTAAAGTGAAACGCATATTAGATCTCCTGAGCATAGTTCAGAGCATGCTAGAGGTTTTCACCGATCTAGCGTAAGTGACAAGATCACATATTCCAGCTGCTAATGTGCCTGCAAAGATGGATGTACCAAATGTACAACAGACCTCCCTCCTAAAGGCTCCGGATTCTACTTTGGCTGATCCACGTACATTAGCAGTTAGCTAATTATCTGCACCTACACAAAGCATGGCAAACATATTGGTTTAAAGGATTCTCAGCCCCTGAAAGAGGAAACCCACGACATAGGCACCTAAAAAGCCTACTGTGAATCCCACTATCCCTCACTCATTCTATCCAGCTCATGAGGAAATTCCAGATTACGGAAGCATCTTTGAAGAGACAAATCCACCTCCCGAGAATCGTGAGATTTCAATCTATTATGCTAGCTTAGATGATGCTTGGTGTAGAAATAAGATGAAGGCTGACAATGCATTAGCACATGCAATAGCTACTGAGATCATGTTGAGCGATGATATTATACCCCGTTCCATTGATGAATGTCAACGTAGAACTGATTGGTCAAATTGGAAACAAACAATCCAAGTTGAACTCAATTCGCTTGCGAAACGTAGGTTGTTTAGACCTATAGCTCTTACTCCTCCACTTCTAAAGCCCGTTGGTTACAAGTGGGTTTTCGTTTGAAAACGTAATGAGTAAAACAAAATTGTGTGTTACAAAGCTCACCTTGTTGCACAAGGCTTTTCACAATGCCCCGGGATTGACTATGACAAAACTTATTCACCCTTTTATGGATGTGATTACTTTTCGGTACCTTATCAATTTGGTAGCTTCCGAAAAACTGACTATGCAGCTAATGGACGTAGTAACTGCGTATCTCTAAGGGATCTTGATGTTCTCGAAGGACTTACATTGAACTGATCAAATATTTCTAAACCCTAGAACACGCTCTTAATTCGGCTAAGGTGTTCACTCTACAATTTGAAGCAATTCGAAAAAATGTGGTATAATCGTCTGAGTGGGTATTTAACTAGTCAGGGATGTGTGAACAGTAAACTATGCCCTTGTGTGTTCATTAAGAAATCACATTCTGATTTTGCGATTATTGCAGTATGTCGATGACATGAATCTCATCGGAACTTCTAAAGAGCTCGCGAGAACTGTCGCACACTTGAAGTCGGAATTTGAGATGAAACATCTAGGAAAGACTTGATATTGTCTCGGTCTCAAGATAGAGCATCGTTTGGATGGAATCTTAGTACATAAAACGAACTACACCCCGAATGTGTTGAGCCGCTTTAACAAGGATAAAGTGAAGCCTTCGAGTACTCCTATTGTCGTTCGATCGCTAGATACAAAACAAGATCTCTTTTGTCCGAAAGAGGATGACGAAGAGATTTTGGATCCTGAAGCTCTTTATCTAAGTGCGATATGCGCTTTATTGTACTTACCTCAATACACTAGACTCGACATCTTCTTCGCTATTAATCTTTTGGAAAGATTCAATAATGTACCAACACGCAAACACTGGACTGGTGTTAAAGACATTTTCCGCTATCTTAAGGGTGCTACAGATTTAGGGTTGTTCTATCCCTACGAATCCTAGAATGATGCCGCAACCCTTTATCTCAAGTCGAATCTCACCTTGTTGGTTATGCCGACGCATGATACTTATCTGATCCACACAAGGCGCGCTCTTAAACAAGATATGTCTTTACCATTTGAGGCACCGAAATCTGTTAGAGGTCAACGAAGCAGACCTTAGTTGCCACTTCGTCTAACCATGCTGAAATTCTCACCTTACATAAAGCAACTCGGGAATGCTTTTGGTTGAGAGCAGTTATGGGCCATATTCAAAGCTTTACGATCTTTACCCTTCGTATATGTCTCGACGACGATCTATGAAGATAATGTAGCATTCATCCAACAGCTCAAGAAGGGTTACATTAAAGGAGACAACACCAAACACATTGCTTTGAAGTTCTTCTTCTCACATCAACAACTAGAACATCAGAAGATTGAAGTCACGCAAATCCATTAACAAGACAATTTTGCCTACCTCTTCACCAAATCAGTACCGAAGGCAACGTTTCAGAAGCTTGTTCAAGGAATTGGTATGCGTAAACTTTCTAAGTTGTAACATTGCTAATTTTCTTTGGAATTGTGTCAAACTCAGGGGGAGTATCCTAAAGTATACTTGCTTGATCGTAATATACTCTTTTTCCCTATGATTAGGAGCATTTTTCCCACTAGGTTTTTGCTACCTAACTAGGTTTTAACGAGGCACCCACCTTGGTTTGATCATATCCCTAATGACGTCCCGTAGACATTTTTCCTTAGACTATGGATTTTCTCCCTACTTAGGTTTTTGCCATAGCCATAGGGTTTTTGTGAGAGACGTACTTACTTATATATGCAAGTTCTTACATTATTGAGAATAACGTGTTCCCAGAATCAATGTCGACGAGTCGACTTCCTCAACCTCTACATGATGCTGAATCTACTTGAGTATTTACACACTCAAGGGGGAGTGTTGTAAACTTCTAGTTTAAGTGTGATTGTGTAAATCCTATATTAGATTTGATTCTAGTTATTCTTTCCTATATGGTCCTATATGGACTTGTATTCCTTGGGGATGAAGGATTTCTTCTCTCCCTTACTACTATAAATAAAGGCACTACGTAGGGGAAAAACACATATTCCTCTACACAACCGTACAAACACATCTCACTCTATTCTCTCTCTGTGCCGCCGACCCCCTTCCCTGCCAGTTAAATATAGGTCACAACAATAACATTCTCTATTTAAAAATTGTTTTTGTTAGCACTTTAAATCTCATTGTGCACTCCGTATAAGCTTAATTTTTTTCCCTTCTAAATATAACAAATTGGAGTACGATGAGATATTTTTAATGGCAATAATAACACCTTAAAAGGGTTTTTCTTTTTTCTTTTTTTTTTATAATTTTTTTTCCTTCAATTTTATTACATAATAATGTTATATATTCAAGTGAAACTTTAAAGTTAGAGTTTTTGAAGTTTTTTTTTCTTGCTTGGTTGTTTATGATTGAACTGCTTTGATTATTAAGTAAACATTATGTTTGTAACTCTTTTTACTTATTATTAATGACATTTTTAAACTTGCAATCAGTAAGTGCTAAAATTTGTTTTGATTTAGGTAATTACTTTCTAGCATCAATATATTGTCCTACATTTCTTTAAAATTATCTGAAGTATGAGCGCTTTTATAAATTTCGCACAGGGTTCCAAAAATCTCAAAGACAACCCTATTATGACCTCACCATACACCATGCAAAGACCCCACTCACACCACCTTCGTAGCTCACCACCACCGGGACCAGCACTTAGAATTTTCCCAGATGCTTACTTCATAAAAAGTTGAAGTGGTGATGTAACTCAATTTATATGTTGGTGTCGTTTAACTGTGGAATGGTTGCAGATGCCAGCCGCCCCTAAAGATGACAAATATGTTGGTCGTTCACATTCATGCATGAATGCATATGATAGGGAAAATACAACTCCATCTCGGACAAAAAGTCCTTAATAATTAGTTTAGTGGTACGGTTTAGCAGGGGTTACCTCATACAGCTGTATACCTTGTACGAGGTGTTCTTAATTTCCAAAACGAGTTTTTCACGTGTTGTGGAATTAGGACAGCTGAAATTTTAAGAGCGTATGAAGGGCCAATGAGCGGAGGAAGAAGGAAGAAAATGAGTTGATTGGATACCTTATCATTATTGGGTGGTTGACAAAGGGAAACAAAACTTAAAAGAGTAATGTAATCAACAACAATCACGTAATATGATTTGCAAAATTTAATCTAAATAATTGGTATTCCTAACATTATTCAACTTCAAATGGATATTTGCCTCATTGAAAAATTGGATGAGTCTTATTTTGTGCCCTCACAGTAATTGGCAAAGGAATTATGGCAATCTAACTAAGAATTCTCACATGTATGAGCAAGTGCATTAAGAGTACACAAATACCGTACAAAGGAACGTATTGATAGAAAGAATGCGTTGTGGGATATGAAAGCTCTCAAACTAATTATGGGATAGAAAAACGCTGAGTTTTTATTTGGACTCCATAGAGAAGGATATTGTGGCTCAAAATTACCTTATTATCTCGAAGCACCATTTGACAGTAAATTTAACTAGTTGATATCCGGTACTCTGGTTAATCACTAAATCGATCACATAATTACCAAAATCACCTATAAGGAGACTATCAAACTTAATTGCCATTGCTACAAAATAAAATTTTGTGGGATAACTCCATTTTCATTAAAATTCAACGGTAGAGTTCAAGAAATTGGATCACTACATGTTCAAACAAGAATCTCTTGTACTAATTTGAAAACACGACCAATCATAAGAAGCATAATTCTCTTTGCAAATGACCATCTAATGTTGATGTTCACATGCCCTATCTGATGCCGTGATGTGGGATCTATTTGTGTGGTTGAGAATGGCGATCATTTACCCTGTGAAACAAATTAATTAGGAGATTTGACCACTCCAAACGCCAGTGCACACTTGAATCACGATTTTCCGAACATATTGGGGAGCAGATGGCATATTTTAATTTTTTTTGTTTCTTTTTCAACCAACTTTCAAGGGCGTGTTGGAAAGTTAGCTACCAGAAAGCAGCCCATGAAGACATTCAGGTCAATCGAAAGGTATCATGATCACCACTCATATAATTATAGAAATGTAGGCATACATAATAATTAAGCATATGCACAATTTAATATCTTTATTTATTTTGTTTTCTAACGAGCCTTTATGCGTCGGATGTTTTAAGATTCATTTGCCCCTAAAATTATAGTGAATCAGTGGGGCCTTCAATGATGCATGACCTTCATTGTACAAAAGTAAGTATATTTATATGTATATATATTGAGTCTTCCACTGTTTCATGATCTGCCCAGAATAAATCAGTTATTAGTCAGTCCTTAGTATTGCCATTGGAGAGCCACAGAGCCACAGAGAGAGAAAGAGAGAGAGAGAGAGAGAGAGAACAATTTTAGGGTTCCTTAGTTCCATAGGGGAGGCTTATAGATGGGAAGGAGTCCTTGTTGTTCAAAGGATGAGGGGTTGAATAGAGGAGCATGGACAGCTATGGAAGACAATGTGCTGACTGAATATATCAGAATTCATGGTGAAGGGAAATGGAGAAACCTTCCCAAAAGAGCAGGTGAGAAATATATATATATTGTGTGTGTGTGTGTGTGTGTGTGTGTGGGGCACACGGCCCTTTCTTATTAGGGATCTCTTTTCACTATAGCAAAATTTGCACAAGGAATTGTATATGTTTCAAAAGAAAATGCATATATAAAGACATTTCATGGGTTTTGCAGGGCTTAAGAGATGTGGCAAAAGTTGCAGGCTGCGATGGTTGAACTATCTAAGACCTGACATCAAGAGAGGAAACATCACTCATGATGAAGAAGAGCTCATCATCCGGCTTCACAAGCTCCTAGGCAACAGGTAATCAGTTTATTTTTTATTTGGGCTTTATTATTAATTAGAAGTTTGGAATATGCGAATTTAAGCTTTGACCATCAATATCGATCTGAAGAATGTTGAAGGATCTTACATTTACTAATAATCTAAAATATGAGAATTTACTAAACTGTGTGACTTTCAGTGAAGTATCTCACATCGTTAACGTGAAATAATATATAAGTGTCTTGAGGTTTTTTTTTTTTTTTTTTTTTTTTTTTTTTGTCGACTAATTTTGAGTTGGGTGCTCTAATTTGCTAATTTCGGATTGCCTACCCTGATATTATCAAATTTAAAATACTATCTTATCTGCGCAGATGGTCTTTGATAGCCGGAAGGCTTCCAGGCCGAACAGACAATGAAATAAAAAATTATTGGAACACTACGATTGGAAAGAGAATTCAAGTTGAAGATCGTTCATGTTCTGATGGAAATCGTAGACAACCAACCCAAGAAAAAACAAAAAAACCAGTACAGTCGTCACCAGAACCTAGGACAAATAATTCATGCACCAAAGTGGTCAAAGCCAAAGCATCAAGGTGCACAAAAGTGGTCTTACCCCATGAGTCGCATAAGTTTGGTGACAGTACTGAACAAGCGACGGTGGGGATTGATGATCCTTTGTCACCTATGTTATTTTTAGATGATGAAAACAGTACGTCTGCGTTTTTGCTGGATTTTAAGATGGACGAGAATTTTCTATCCGATTTTCTTAATGTCGATTTCTCTGTGCTCTATAACAATGAGGGAGCCGGTAAAGTTGCTGCTGCTGCTGCTGCCGCCACTGAAGACACGAGCAATAAGCTGCATGGTCCAGATCTCCAATCATCCATGGCTCCTATCGTGGACTCTGAATTGGACTGCTGGCTCGCAAAGAATTAATACGCCTCATTAATCAAATACTATATCTTAATTAATTCAACCTTCAAAATCATAAGTAGCTTATTATATGCAGAATTTTCCCTATTAATTATGAGAAAAATGCTGGCAATTGATTGTGCCTTTGTGTACGTGTGAGAAGTTGACTTTGTGTACGTGTGACGTTGATGATGACTTTGACAACTAGCTTTACCCCATTTGATGGTGACCTGCAGCCAGAAGATCTTCATGCTATGTCCAAATAATTCCTCAGAATCCCTCTCTGTAATATATGTAGTTGTTTGTTGCAATAAAACCAATGAATGGGCCAGTTTTAGATCGATTCTTGTTGAGACAATTTTTGCTAAAAAGTTGAAAAATATAGAAGAAAAAAATTTGTACTATGTTGATTTTATTTAATTTTCTTTATTAAAAGTAGTCTTAATTTAAAGTATAGATTATGTATTGAAAAATACTACACATTCTCTCAGGTTTGGTCTTGAGATTTTTCAGGCCCCGACTTAGGGTGGCACCAAACAAAGGCTATAACATAACTCCACGCAAGAAATTCAGTTTTTTATTCGGACTTGTGTACTACAGGTAATGGAGGATTAAATGTTTAAAGAGACAAAATGTTAAATTGTTATTATTTTAAAATTTAAAAGTTTAATGCGAGAAAATTAAAATATTATGACCTATTTTGAAAATCACCTCAAATTTGAGTAGTGTAAAATGAATTCACTAGCTCAAATTTGTTTCATGTTTACTAATGTCTATTTTATATTTCTTTCCTTTTGTATATAAGCAGTGATTAAACACCTAAAAAGTAACGATTGAAAGCAAATACACCATTTTTAGTAGAAGAAACAACACACTTGGAGTACTTGGAAACCCAAATACATGTAAATATATTCATCCATAAACCAGTGCAATAAAAAACAAGAAAAGTCAGTTGGTGTTTTATAACTTAATTAAGGATAAGTAAACAAGCAGATTTTAGTTTAGCTAAAACAATGTGTTCCTCTTACTCTGCACTTCAGTTTGAATCTTCGTCTCACAGTTTAGATGTATTCAAGGCTCGTTTGCTTAACAATAATGAGAATAAAAATTAGAAAAAGAATGGGTTTCATTCATGACTTTCCCTGCGTTTACTTGCATGTAATTCGTAACGCGATTACATCCTTAATGGAGTAATCCAATTTTAGGAATTTAATTAAGTAGATGAAGGTGGTAAGTAACCAATCTAGAATACGGTGGTGTATAATAATAAATAAAAGAAAAGGAAAGTAAACAAAGATGACCACGTAGTGAAATTGAAAAACTTATAAAATGGTAAATAAATTGATTGCACCAAATTTCAAGAAGAAGAAATTCATCTCTATCCCATAGTCCAAGAGAGGAAGTATCTTAGTTAACTAACAACAATATCCACACATGTCATTATAGTATAATATAGCAAAGAAGACAAGGGAACCAAAATTGTGGAAAGAGAGCAAATGGCGTTATATATGGAGTGCGTACCGTTTGATTCAAATTAAATCGGTTTAAATTAAAAGAAAGAACAAATCGTATTGTAGTTGGCGCAATAATAATGAGGATCCTTTCCGGATTCTTTTGTGAGGGTTTAGATGATTTTTTAATCATAAAATGAATGGATATAATTAAAAAATTCTAAAATGCTGACAAAAAGAATCCAAAGAAAATTCTTATTCGTGCAACATGGCCAATAGTTAGTTAATTAATTAGTTAATCATAAAATATAATTTAACAGGTTGAACTATCAGTTAAAAATAACGAAGGAAAAGTAAACTTGATGATAAAGTAATATAATACAAGTGTGAATAATTATACAACAATCCGTTTGCCACAAAGTGCAGTAGGCACATAATTTTCATGAGTTATGATTGCATCTACACCAATTTCAAAATATGCCCACCTTTTTAATTGTTGTTGGATGTATGTGTCTATGATCGCATCTACACCAATTTCAACATATCTCACTGGTAAGACTAATGTTAGTCTATTTTAGATCGCATTTGCAAGTTACATAATGTAATCTATATATATAATAATTAACCATTACGTCATATAATATATAAAATATAAAGAAAATTAATGAAAAGAGTTTGAAAATTTTGAGTTTTAATGATAAGGACAAAATAAAGGGTAAAGTGAATAGTATCAGGATTGACTTTTTTATGTAAAAATATAGATTTTCGTTAAAGTGAATAGTACCACGGACTTTTCGTTAAAACTCACTAAAATATAACCTAAACAGATGGTTTTCCTTACATTATCCATCTGCTAATAATGAATGCATTATCTCTCAACAAAACTTCTCTTCTCACTCAGTATGGCATTCCAAATGCATCACACTAGCATTAGTCGTAATAGGTATTTCTAGTATGTGTGTGTGTATAGGCCTGGAAAACGGGTCGTACCTGTCGTGTTCATGTCATTTTCATGTAACACTTGTTATCTTAACAGGTCGTGTCGTTTCACACCTGTTATCTTAATGGGTCATTAACAGGTCCGGTCACTTTACCCAACAGGTAAAGTGACTCGACCCGTTATCACCCGTTAAGAAATTTTTTTTTCGCCTTAAATTTGCATATATCACACATTGCCACATAAATATTACTTCAAAACATTAAAATACATTTGTCGTTTAAGTTCTACATCTGCACTAGAAAATAAGAGCCTGATAAAAAAGTATTCATACACTACTAGTCTATTACAAAATGTTAAATGTGCAAGGATATGCAAAATGAAAGATTTTTTTTTTTTCATGGTTGTGAAACCTTTCTCAAAAGTTTAAACCTTACCAATGGAACTCAAAGCTTGCATGTTTTTCCTTTTACAAAATCCTCAATTTTCATCGATCATCATGAGGAAATTGTATTAGAAATTTGGCTTGATCTATTGCCACGTTAGATGTAAGATCCCACATCGCCCAGGGGAGTGATCCTTATATTTATATTCCTATCCCTACCTAACACGAGGCTTTTTGGGAGCTCCATACTTCAGGTTCCGCAGGAACTTCGAAGTTAAGCGAGAAGAGAGTTAGAGCAATCCCATGATGGGTGACCCACTGGGAAGTTGCTCGTGAGTTCCCAAAAACAAAACCGTGAGGGGATGGTAAGCCCAAAGCAGACAATATCGTGCTACGATGATAGAGCAAGCCTGAGAAATGATCCGCCTCGGGCTAGGATGTGACATTAGAACTCTTTTCTACATAAACTGGATGTGACATTAGAGCTCTTTTCTACATAAACTAAGTATAGAAAAACCAAACATTAAAAATCAATCAAATTATGAGAAGTTTACCAAAATAATTATGAAAGGAAATAAAACAATAGTACTATACCATATAAAAATATATTTGCCCCCAACCTAATGCATAATGGATGGCTAAAATTAAAACTCCTCCGATCCAATGGTCAACAATTTTTTAAATTTAATATATATATATATATATAATTATTATAGTTTTTAGGGGTATAAAATTGTTAAAATTAATATATATAATTATTATAGTATTTTTTTAGGGTTATAAAATTATTAAATTACTATTTTGCTTATCATGTATCGTGTTACCTATATGTATACCTGAACCAACCTATTATCTTAACAAGTGCTTATAGGGTTACCCGATAACGACCCGACTCATTATCGTGTCAATCCGAACACTTGCTAATTTCGTGTTGTGTCGGGTTATTGGATCGTGTCAAAAATTGTCAGGCCTATGTGTGTATATATTACATTTGAGCTAATTATAACTTTGAAAACATCTTTATTTTGGTTACATTATTAAAACAATTCAAGTCATTATTGTTGAATTTCAATGTACATAGAGAATTGTTATTGGCACTCCTAAAATATCATTTTGCATTCCAAATTTTCTATAATTAGAAAGAAAATTACACTTATAAGTGAAAGAATTTAAGCTAAGGTTGTAAATACTGATTGCATAAACTCAACTAAATTAATTATGAGTGAGGTATAGACTTCATTATATAGAGATTATATGATGAGGTTGGTTACAGTATAAACATATCATCTAATTACATTTGAAATTCAAAACTAAGTTACACATGAGTTTTAGATAAGGAAGGATTGTGATTCCTTTCTATCTATTGAAGAGTTTAAAGAGTATCCAACTTGTGTAGCTGACTTAGAGAGTCTTTTACTATGCATTGCTGACGTGGAGAAAGATCCTGAATATTTGGTTATCACACCCCCGCAAGCTAAGTGGGTGTTGACGAATAGGAAGCTTGGAAATGAGATAACTGAAACGAGTTATGGACAAGCCCTTTGTTAAGAGATCTGCGATTTGGTCAGTGGATGAAACATATCCCACAACAAGTGCATTTCGAATTACTTTTTCTCTAACATAATTATAATCAACTTCCACATGACGCATACGAGCCTGATAAACTAGATTGGAAGCTACTGCCAGTGCACGGATATTATCACACCATAATCTTGGTGAATTGAGAGGAAGATGAAGATCACGGAATATGTGTCTGAATCAAGATAAAGTGGCAAAGGTATAGGCCATTTGTCAATACTCAACCTCTGTACTTGAGCGAGACACACCTCTTTGTTTTTTAGAACTCCAAGAGATTAAGTTGTCCCCTAGAAAAATGCAATGACCATCAGTGGAGGGACGATCATCTGGGTCACCAGCATAGTCAGCATCTGCAAAGGCTGTTAGGGACAAAGAATTGGGTTTATAAACTATACCGCAATCATGAGTAGGCTTTCAAATAACAAAGAATGTGCTTGACTGTAGCCCAATGTGGAATGGTGGGTGAATGCATATACTGACAGACTTGATTTACAGTAAAAGCAATGACAGGCTGTGTGAATAAGAGGTATTGGAGAGCCCTAACAACACGTCGATTGTTCCATCATCCATGGGTTAACCTTCATATAGACTAAGCTTGCGTCCAAGGAGGGTGGGAGTAGACAATGGTTTAGCATCAGCCATCTGAGTGCGTTTGAGTAGGTCCAAGATATATTTTGATTGTGTTAAATACATGGTCGTCGATGTTCTCGTAATTTCCATTCCCAAAAAATAATGTAAGGCCTGAAGGTCTTTCATGGAAATTTTTGTCCCAATTGTTGAATTAATGTGGAGATGTGAGATGGATTATTACCTGTGACAAGAATGTCATCAACATAGATGAGTATATAAATGACAGTAGTTCCATTGAAGAAAATGAACAGCGAAGAATCTGCCATTGATGCTTGAAAGTCGAGTTCTTCCAAATGTTGAGAGAAGCACTGAAACCAGGCACGAGGGGACTGTTTTAAGCCGTATAGGGACCGTCGAAGATG